TATGTATGCATGTATGTATGTATGTATGTATACATATACATATATATATATGAAGTAAGTCGACGGAGTTAAAACGCCAGTCTGGATTATCTGTTTGACGTGTAAATTTATAGTCCGCTACGTGCAATTTTCTACCACACTTTACAAAATTGATGACATATGTATGGCTTATGCTCAGCCGAGTGCGCGTACCAGTATGTATACAAACATACGAATCACTTACCGCCTTATGGAAACCCAGCACCGTGGCACAATTAGTGGTCTGTGGCAATTCCATGCATCGGAAGACATACTTGAGTGCCACATCCCGCTCCTCCTCGGATAGATCTTCGACTGCTTGCTTTATGTTGGCGCTCTTAAAAGAAGCAAACACCTAACATACAAGATGGATATGTGACAAAACAAAAATCGGTGAGAAAACAAGGCGTAACACAAACTCATCGATTGGTTGATAGGTAGATATTCTGACTTATAACGATAGAAGGCGAATGAGCAGGAAAACCAGCCATTGGCGTCTCAAGCCTATAGTTCTTAAGCTATCTACAGATTCACCCACATAAAGTGAAACAAAGCTACGAATACGAGAATAACATACATCTAACGGCAACGTAAAAGTGAAATTGCACAGCATCACACCAGTTTCAATTGCTCCGTAAAACCACAACATCTTCAATATTTATATATACGATATAAGATAAGCTGTATAGTTGCAAGGATATAGGAGGACCAATACACGTATAATCGATAACAAAATACAACGACAACTCGTCGAAGACAACAATCTCTCTAACATATGTGAGCCATAATCAGCTCTAATAGGTGATAACAACGCACTCGGAGCTGTCACTATCACATACAAATTTTCTAGAAAGCACATAGTCCCTGTTGCACAGATATGTACCGACGCTTTGCAGGGGGCATTGGCGTGTCTAGGCTATGCTACTAACAGCAGAAAGCAGCAACAGCACGTAGCCTTAAGCTACATATCAATGTATGCATGTTATGGACAAGACAGGAATACCGCGCTATCTAGCTCAACGGCGACCACTATCTCATTTTCTATGCTAGTAAAATCACATACACACTCAGTTGCCATCCTCGTATGCTATCGAAACCTCGCACTCACAACGGCACTTGGCCCATGAACTAGAGACTAGAAAAGAATGGGACGATACCTCTCCCACGGCAATCACCAAAGCATCTTTAACGGCTTGGCTAGCACGGTACATAGGAGCTCCTGCCGCCTCTTTGAGTGCAGCACTGCTTTTTCCAGAGCTCACCATCTGTGAACGTACAAAGTTTCGATTGAGGAACTGTATAGTATGTTCCGATTATCAGAGATAAATATATCAATGACATCTGTTCTGATTAGGGCTAACAGTTAAGGTAATATACCTTAAGTACTAACAGAACGCAATTGCTCGACAAAGGCTAACGGTGAAAAAAAACAGCACGGTTGATATGATTATATAGCAGATTAATTCCGCCAAGATCACACCAAAATCTAGCGACCCTACAACATTACTGCTATATATATAT